ATCACGGACTATGGCAGCGGACACACACGTCATCATTGTCCTGGAGTGAAGCTGAAAATAAAAGGGGGGGGGGTGTCCACAAATATGTGCCATGTGTGATCACGTGTTCACTTTTAAAAAAAAATATTTGTGACGTTGCAGGAATGGGGGAAATCGGATCATTTATTGATAGTCATCTCATACATATGGCTGCAAATATGTTGTCTTTGATTGGCTGATTGGTCATCTCATACTGATGGCTGCAAATATGTTGTCTTTGATCGGTCAGCTCTGATTTGAGCACACCTCCCCTTTTTTCTTATGCAAATGCGCTTATTACAGGTGACTGATTTTCGCTGAGTTAAATGATGGTGATGGCTAGTAATTATATAGAATAAGACGGACTCATTTTGCGGTATTGCTGGTAGTGGGATCATTTTCTTCAAAATGGCAGGACGACCAAGAGACAATAATTGAAATTGTTGATCAACGGAAATTTTAAATGGTGCAGCATTTGGTTTATAGCGAACTTTGTGAGGCAACAAATAACGTTAATACAACTATGGAATTTCTTGTAAGGTGCTCGTAACCATTGCTATGTGGCTTGTAAACTGGCTACGTATGTCAAGTATGAGAGTTCCCTTTAACTACCGGGATCTGGATCTCACCGGAACCGGTACCCCACTGGGGTCAGGAACCCACTGGGATCGGGAACCCACTGGATCAGGATCCATGCATGACCGGGATTCTACCGGGATCAGGATCCATCATGACCGGGATTCTACCGGAAACGGGATACCACCATGACCAGAATTCTACCGGAATCAGGATCCCACTATGATCCATCCGGACAACAGGGTGCGATCGGAAAACGGGAAAATCGAAAGGGTTACATAAGTTATTTTAAGTGTTTTATAGGAGACAAATGAATTATTTACAAAAAAAATATAGTGGTGTTGTTTTGTTGTTGAAATTTCGCTTTTATGGCAATGTGAATTAAAAGGAAGTAGAAGATTTTTTTTTTGAATGCAATCCCGGGCAACTCTGGTTATATTTGATTGTAAAGTTATAAAATAAATACAACATTTATTTTAACCAAGATTCATCCAATTGGGTAACTTTTATAACATATCTTTAAAGAGAGAAGAGTTATCCATTAAAAAGATGGTATTTTACTTTAAAATACTTTTTATAAAGAATTAACATACATTTACACGCAAAAATACGAAATTCAAACAGAAATAATATACGCACCTGAACTTCACTTTTACCAATTATTTATTTGTATTAGTATTAGGCCTACTATTTTACTACTTTTCTACTAATTTTAGTTTAGCCTATTCAATACCCTATGGAATAGGCTACTCATAAAACTATTTTTTTAGTACTTTAGGTAGGCTATTCCTCAATAATAGCCAGATCTAATTCAAATATAATAAATAGTCTAATTAATTTAATTTAGATGTTCTAGTATGTATTTTATTTATTTCATTCTATTCAAATAAAAATATTCACTCTACTTTTCACAATTGACAATTTACTATGAGTATAATATAAGTATAATTTTATGGATTTTTGTGTGTTAAAATATTAACCCTCTTGACTCTTGAAACAACTGGCCCAATAAATCAGCCCAGAGTGTTATGCCAAGTAATGGCCAAAAAGATGAAAGGCTGATACATTGGCCCTATAATACAAGCTTTGAGATTGGTTGGCCGGTCAAATATGGGTTAGGACTTCAACAATCATAAATACCAAAACACTCTACAAGCAAGACAATTTTACTTTAAGTCAAGTGTTAACAAAATTGCATGCATGAATTATGCAAAACAGGATATCTCATTTGCTTAAATGTTGTGATTTTTGTTTGATTCATAAAGATCGTATTGGTTTATTCACTTCCCTACAAGAATATATTTATAGTTTTAAAGTAATTAGTTTATTAAAATTTTTGTTTTGTTCCAAAGTAAGTGTAGGGCTTGTGAAAAGGGCTTCGTCTTTTTGGCACACAGTCCAAAAAGTCACTGTCTCAAGAGGGTTCACATCTTTAAAATTGAAACAAATAGTATACCCAACAACATTTGAACCATATGTGAACTTGAGTTATTGGTGCACCTATAGTTTTTTATTGCGACCTGTCTTATGACTATGACAGGTGCTGTAAGATCATACAATTATAATGAGATAGTGTGTCCTTTTAATATTTAATTTTAAGAGGCTTGGACATTTATAAGGCTTTTAATTAGATTAGTAAGACACGAACAGTATAGGTAAGCTTCAATTATTTGAAGACTAAGTTCAAATACCTTTCATATACCCATTATCTCAAACCCACATACCCCTTAAACTTACAGGTAATTGACCACCATTAACTAACTCCCATAGCTTTGTTAAGTAGAAGTTCAAATACATGAAGGATCAAGTCAGACCAATTTTCAAAGAACAAATTTCCCCATTCGTTCCTCTAGGTGGACTCCCATAAAAACAAAATAGGACAAACCCAAGCTCCCCTGTTTTTTTTTTTTTAGAAAGTTTGTCTCTCTTGGCCTGCAGCTCCTAAAATATTCACCATTTGTCCCTTTACTAATTGGGATTCTTGTAAAGTGTGTTACTTGTATGCATGTTTTGTCAAATTTTTAGCCCCACCCCCATTACTGGATACTACATTTTAAAAAAGATTTATAAGAAAAACTTTTGTTTTTAGGGTTTTTAAATTGATTTTTTCATTGTCAAAAGTAATTTATAAATTACCACTCTTAGACTTATTTCAAGTTAAAACTTGCCAAGATGTCATCAAAGGCAAGCCCATCTTTATCAAAACAAGGTCGAAGAAAAACAACGGGGTCTTCTTACAGCTCAAATGCAACTACTCCATCAATTTTCTCCAACACTACTTTGCAGAATGATAATGATGTTGCTTCAAGCTTTCCTACTGATGTATGTATCATAAAACTGATGTATGCATAATATTAAAAATTTTTTCATAACGCTTATATTCCATTGAAATATAAAAGTGCAAAGAAGTTACCTTTGAAAACAATTCCCCCACTTACGTTAACGAAACCATGCTACCATCAGTCCGAAAGCTTCTTTCATTGATCATATGTGGCGTGAATAGTTTTCCATTCTTATTATTTTTCAACTATGTTAGATCCACAAAAATTATAAAAATATTAGAATTCGGTTAATAGTTAAGTAATTTAGGTTATACATCAAAATGAGGCATTATCAGGAATGAGAATAAGTGAGATGTGAAATTTGGCAGTCACTATGGTGTGCATAAATATTTAGATATTTGCACTTTCTAAAATCCAGTATTCGTTGAATGGAAGTATAGATAATTGATTTCATTACAGTTATAAGCTCATGTTTTTTTTTGCTAAATGTTTTTATTTCTTTTCTACTTCAACAGCAAAAGAAAACATCAACGGATATAGACAAAGTATTAAGTAATTGGATAGCTTTGGAGCAGCAAATACATTTGAAAGAGGGTTTGTAAACTATGAGGGCAGGCTGATAAAATTAATAGGAGGGGAAAAAAAATGAAATGAAAAATGACCTTCATATTTTTTATTTTATCAAAGCTGAATAATTATTTCTTGATGAAATCAGTACAGGCTCGCACCAGCATTGCATTAGTTTCGAAATCCATCCTTACAATGCAAATGGTTTGATTTTGAAAACACTGAAGTAGTTCAGCACTTCATCACTCTAGTCCTGGTCTTTCCAGTGTTCTAAAATTTTTGTAAAAGTTGGAAAATAAGGTCTGTGCAATATGACACAACAGCACTGGACAGTTCAATGTTTGAACTTATGCTCTGGACCTGGGTTGTTAGGCCTGGGTTGTTGCTTCAAGTTAGGCCTGGGTTGTTGCTTCAAGTTAGGCCTGGGTTGTTGCTTTTGTATTAGGCCTGGGTTGTTGCTTTTGTATTAGGCCTGGGTTTGTCATGCTTGCGAAATGTTTAATTTTTAAAAATTGAATTCCAATTGATTATTTATTTTAATGCACTAAAAGTTTCATTGTAACATTTAGACTCATAGTTGTTGCTTTTTTTTTTGCATTTAAATTTAAAATGTTCAGGATTTCAAAAATTTCAAGATGATCTTCCATGCCTGAGTTTGAAAATGTTCTGCTGAGTTGATGCTTTCTTGCGGCTTATTTAAAGACTCTTTTTGCCTTTTATTCTACATTTAAAATTATATAGAGTTAGCTTCATTGCCAGTAAGGATCTTCATCTTCACATTAATCCAAAAATTCTTGTAACTGTGGCACATCTGGCACAAATTTTGTGGAATCCAAGAATATCAATTTTCTATTAAAATTCCATTCTGCATTGGAATGCATAAATGAACAGAAATTACTGTTAGTTTGATGCAGCACTTTTCATGGATTGTTTCCCTTGTTGCATCTTAATGAAGCTGACCACTTGGTCAACAGGGCCCACCTCACAGTGTGCCACTCCGATCAGCCTTCTCCACGTCTCTTTCTTTAAACCATCTTATCACAAAGCTAAAAGGTACCCACATTAACATACAGATCACCATAAATGGGTTCAGTTGTGTGTGAATTTATTTGCTGGACCTCTTTGTGGGCTTAAGAATTTGATAAAAACATGCTTTTTGAACCGTTTGAGCATGCTGTAATTTTTGTATGTATCTTTGTGTTCAAGGTCAGATATGATGAAACGAAGATAGATCTACACTTAAATACTTTGCACAAGATATGACTAAAATATGACAGTGGAACCAAAACTTATCAGCTTGGCTTCTTAATTGTTCATTTAACATGATTTTTTTTCTCTCATACAAGTAAATGTACAAAATAAAAAGACTTTAAAAGTTAAACTTTACATGTAGTTAACATGTTAAAAAAATATCAGTCCAGATAATTATTTGATTTGTTAGTAACTGATTAGCCAGATTTTTATACATGATTTCTGTTAACTTAAAAAATTGGATCAGTCAATTCACTTATATAACCATTAAATATTTTATCTCTTTTAAGTTCTTAAACAAGAAGTGGAAGAGAAAGAAGCAACAATGGCCGAGTCAGAGTGTCAAGAAAATGTGGATGAAGAATATTTGAACCGATGTGGCTATGGCAGATGGCGGCCGCAGTTTTTACAATGTTTCAACTCTCCTAACTGTCTGGTGTTTTTTATGGGGCTATATTCTCTTGTGCTAGGTAAACACATGATTAATATAAGAGGGACAGCATTCAAGCCGTGTGAAGTAAAAAAAAAAAATAGTGGCACAGGATATGTTTAGGCTTAAAAAGAAAAGACAGGACAATTAAAACGACGTTTTGGCTAAATGCCTTCTTTGGCAGACAAGACAAAGCAATAAAAGGCAAAGAATTATAAATAAAAAAAACTTATGTTTTCGAAGATCTCAATGTTCATGTTTTTACCAAACCATGTTTTTACTATTTCATTCATACTAGCATTTGTATTGCCTTGGCAAAAAAACAAACAAAAAACAAGGATCATACATACTAAACATTTCCCTTCATGTTAAATTTTCATTTTGCATATTTATGTCATCCAACACACATTTCTGATGATAACTGCAAAGCGGCAAACACCTTTAGGACAAAATTGTTAAATAATCCAAAATGATGTCAAAATTTTAAATGCATTTATTAATTTCATATTTGTGCAAAAAGTACACTTGCTTTTAGTGCAAGAGAAAAAAATAACAACCTGATGCAAAAAATAAATACTTCTATTTGAATAATTTTTAGACTTGATGAACAAAGGAGCAATAATATTATAGAATTGCCTAAATCAACAATTAAGTATATCACACTGAATAATCATACAAATTTTAGATCTGTTAAAAAAGTAGTTCACTATCACAAATTTGATCACATAAGGTGGCCATTGTTTACTCTCAAAACTTTTATTTTACATTTCAGGTTTCATTGTCAATGGAGTCCACAATGTAAACATTTCCTCAATAGAACGCAGATTTGATTTAGACAGCACCAACCTTGGCTTTGTGTCCAGTGCTTACGATGTGTCAGCTGCTCTTCTTGCTGTGGTCATTGGATACATGGGCTCAGGGAAACGGAAACCCCGGCTCCTGGCCTTTGCGGTGTTCACATCTGCCGTGGGATCCATCACCATGGCGCTACCACATTTTCTAGCAGGGCAGTATCAGCTAGGGATGGCCACTGAGAAAATATGCGTGACGGGGTCCAGTGCTAACTTAAACTGCACAGCTGTTCATCATTCCTCCTCCCTCAGCAACTACTTGTACGTGTTTCTCTTCTCTCAACTGCTGCACGGCATTGGGGGCACAACCCTGTTCACCGTTGGAATCTCTCTTATGGATGACAGTGTCATGCCCAAGAAAACACCACTTTATTTAGGCATAATCTATGGCTGCAATATTGTTGGGTCGGGTTTAGGGTACATCATTGGTGGACAGCTACTGAACATCTATGTTGATTTCGACACTGTTGATAACATAAAACTGACTCCCGGTGACACGAGATGGCTAGGTGCCTGGTGGCTCGGCCCAACCCTGGCCTTCTGCCTGCAGCTGGTGGTGTGTGTGCCGATATCCTTGTTCGGATCCGAGCTGCCCGGCACCAAAGAAGTGAGGCTGAACAGGGTCCCAGAGGCGCACACTGTTGCACTTAGTTCTAACTCGAAGTTCAAGAACAACAGATTCGTGACTACTACAATGACTGTGATTAGGAATCCATGTTTTGTTTTTATCACCCTGGGAATGACAACAGAGGGGATGTTCTTGTCGGGCTCTGCTGCTTTCCTGCCAAAGTTTATAGAGAATGAGTATGGTATACCTGCGTCCAAGGCAGCTGTTCTATCAGGTGAGGCTAAAACCCTTTCAGATACATTTCAGATTTTTAAAACTATTTATAATGAGGCCTAAAAATGCTAATGTTGCACTCTTTTATAATGAGCCCAAGAAAAAAATACTAATGCTGTGCTATTTTATAATGAGGCCCAGAAAAAAATACTAATGTTCTACTATTTTATAATGAGGCCTAACAAAATGCAAATGTTACTCAGGAATGGCTGTGGTACCAGCTGCTGTGTGTGGACTCATCATGGGAGGTTTTATAGCCAAGAGATTCAATTTCACTATTCGACAAGCCATCAAGTATCTGATTGCGACAAGCTCCGTTTCAGCCCTTGCTTGTGCTGTTGTGTGGATACGATGTCAGCCCAGTAGCATATATGGAGTTAGTATACCTTACGGGAAAGAGTAAGTTCGAAGACGATATTAATCTTAGGCATTAAATGTGAAACATGAGTTTCTTTTACTGCCAGTGTCACTATAATTTAACAAAATATCCATTAGGATTTTAAAAAGTTGATTTATGAAAAATATACAGAAATAATACACAGGCTGTGGCGATTTTTTTTCTGTCTGATCCCAACTAAATCATTATGTCACACAAAATTCTAGTTTTGGGCTAAATTTTATCTTTTTGCCACAATCTAAATATCTTGGCCCCTGAAGTATAGCAATGCTAAATATCAGTCACTGAAGTATAGCTATGCTAAATTGATGTCATGGCCTCTGAAGGATAGCTGTGCTTAATATCTTGGCATCTGAAGGATAGGTTTGAATTTCATCAAATAACCAAAGAAAAAGGTTTTCTATATCTGTGTCAGATAACATAACCACTGAATGTTAGTGATGGTTTAGCAACTTATTAACAGTTAGCAGGGTTGGGAGCTCAAGGGCCACTCACCCTAGGCTAGTGGTTTCAAATTGTGCTTCATGGAGCTCTTATTTCACTTTTCAGGGGCTCCACAACCCTATGTTAAGTTGTAATAAAAAGTGTAGGACGTCCCCGCCCCCCCAATTGATTCTAAAAAAAAAGGCTTCGTGAGTCTCAAAAGGTTATGAACCACTGCTCCAGTCTAACCCAATTTCCTAGGGGAATATCTTGTGTTACTTCATCCTGGTTGGCTTAAAAAGCAACCAGTAAATTCTTATTGTACTGGTAAGCTCTTGCAGCCATTGTCTAGAAGGATATAGATAATGCTATGGGATAGTGTGTAATTTATATTGTAATGATAAGCCGTTGAGGCTAATGTCTCGGAGCCATAAGATAATGCTGTATGGTCTTGTATGTTTGAACAAACATAACTTTTGTTGTTGTTGTTGTGTGCACAGGGTGGTAGGCAACTATCCCATCAAGTTGGATGTGCAGTGTAACAGCCTGTGTAACTGTGACACTGACGCGTTTGAACCAGTGTGTAACAAAGACACCAGTCTTTACTTCTCACCCTGCTATGCTGGATGTGTCCTGCAATCAGGGAGCACTGTGAGTTATACATAAACTTAATTTCTTAATCCACTTAGAATTTATTCATTTCAGTAAATAATAAAGTTGAAAATAAAGTCCTCTGACTGGTTTTTAAATTATGGATGAGTATGAACAATCATTCTATTAGTAATGTGTTTTGCAGCTTAAAAGTTTTGTTTCAAATTTATAATTAGAAATATTTTTGAAATATACAAACAATTCTTTTTTAAAAGGGAAAAGCATTATTTTTGGAAAAAATTTGAGTTAAGAGTAAAATATAGTATTGTAAGGTTTTTTTAGAATGTAAAACATTGCCCAAATTTAGGATACTCGCCCAAAAGGCCACTGGTCCTGAATGATGATCATTATTTGCTTTTAAATGAATGAATTGAGTCTTTGGGTAAATCAATGATGAATATACTACATGGAAGGCTCTGATTAAATCAGTGATGAATGCTCAACATGGAAAACTCTGCTCCATTTTTTTTCAGTTCCACAACTGCACCTGTGTTGATGTCCTGAATGAGGTGACCAAACTTGTGATTCCTGCCAGCCGGACGCTCAGCACAGAGAACTGTCGCCAGCCCTGTCACCTGCTTTACCTGTTTGCTGTGCTGCTCTTCATGTCAATGTGTGTCTCCTTCATGCCTATAGCACCAGGGGATTCCATACAACTGAGGTACAGTTATCAGTGGCAACAGTGCATGATGAGTTCAGTAACATGGGGCTTGAGGGAGAATTTGAAATTTTCTCTGCCGACACGATACATTAAAATAACAGATGTATTTAAGTATTAAACATAAAAAAAAACTCATGGGGCATGCTTATGGGTTTGCTAATTATGCGAATAGTATGTTTATGTCATGCTAATATTATGATAATTAATTGTTGACAATTTACAGGTGTGTGCATGAGGACCATAAAGTCTATGCACAGGGAATCAAAACACTAATAGTGCGAATGTTAGGTGAGTAGAAGAGATAATCAATTAATTGCCAAAATAGATTTGATGTTAGATACCATGTTTATTTTTAAAGGTGCGAGTTTCAAATCTGGGATATGTTGGAGGGATTTATTTTTTGGTTTGGTGGGTTGGGGAGTGGGGGGGGGGGGGCGCCTGGGAAAAACCAGTTCAAAGGGGAAACAAAAATTTATCAAAATAGATTTGATGTTAGATACCATGTTTATTTTTAAAGGTGCGAGTTTCAAATCTGGGATATGTTGGAGGGATTTATTTTTTGGTTTGGTGGGTTGGGGAGTGGGGGGGGGGAGCCCAGGACAAACCAGTTCAAAGGGGTAACAAAACTTTAACCTTAATAATATTCTGTATTTATATATTCTACTTACGTGTAGATGTTATTTTATGGAAAAGTGTCCTGCTAGTAATTATTTTTTTAAAAAGGGTTGCAGTTACATACTTTTTGTTAGTACTGTCTTAGGAAACAAATCATATTTTGTAAACCACTGTCTAAGAAATCAATGATATTTTGTAAACCACTATCTTAGGAATCAATGATATTTTGTAAACCACTGTTTTAGGAATCAATGATATTTTGTAAACCACTGTCTTAGGAATCAATGATATTTTGTAAACCACTGTCTTAGGAATCAATGATATTTTGTAAACCACTGTCTTAGGAATCAATGATATTTTGTAAACAACTGACATATTTATAGCTTGTAATACTGTCAGCTTTCCCAAATGAAACCTGTTCTTTTTGTTCCCCTTGTTCCCTTCTTCTCTTGCAAAAGGTTCGTTTGTGGGACCCATCTTAATGGGTAAGTTACTGGACTTACAATGTGAAACCTGGCGTGAGAAGTGCGGCCAGAGACTATCATGCTGGCTGTACAACCATGACAACCTGGTCCTCAGCATCTACCTGTACGCGGTCGTCCTCAAAGGCCTCTCAGTAGTTTTCAGCTGTCTGGCGTTAAAGTTTTATCGCCCTCCAGTGTGCAACCAGGTTATTGTTATTCAGGTAATTCGTAACATGCTAACAAAATTACGAGGTCAATGCACATGACACAGTTTTCACATGTGGTCACCAGCACTATATATAAATTCTAAGAAGCATTATATTTTCTCTAATTTTTGTTGCCATAAGTTGGGCAAATTATCATATTAAGTCCCTAATCAACATCAGGCTGTGGAGATTTTTTTTCTGTCTGATCCCAACTAAATCATTATGTCACACAGACACCAGATGTACCTCATCATGAAGAAAAAGATGGTCAGGAAGCCGAAGAAACACACTGTTCACATAAAGAAAATTCATCATTTGACGAGGCCAATCAGCCAATGGTAAGTGCGCTGTCACTTTATCCAATCAGAAGTGATTTCATTTTTGGAACACTGAAAATTCAGTCACCAGCTAAAAATAAAAATTATTATCAAATTGATTCAATTTTCCTATCATTATACATTAAAAATGAAATGTTTATCCAATATGGCAGTTCATTAGTAAAAATCAGCTTCTATATATATACTTTGTTTTAAATTTTAAATTTTTTTATGCTCTGCAAGAAATGATTCTAAGTGGTGAGTTAAAACTGATAGATGGGGCATGTCAGTTAACTGTCCACTAATTTTTCAGCTGATAGATGGGGCATGCCAGTTAACTGTCCACTTATTTTTCAGCTTAATATTTCCATTTAAATGTGTATGAGGGATGGCCGAAATTAATTCTAAAAAAGAAATGCATTTTTATTTCTTAAATGAATGATTGTAACAAGATTATTGACAAATTATCTTTTCTATTCATCATTAGAATTTTTGTCTTTTGAAATATTGGAATAGTTTTTAGTCATTATTAAAGTGTTGTTTTTTTTTTTAAATCTCAGAATTGTTTTTACACTTACTGTTGCTGCATAAATTTAATAAGATAGTTAATATAATCTGAATTTGGAGTACCCTTTAAAAAAATTGATTGAAAAAGTGTGGATTAAAAAAAATATATTGACTTAAATATCAACAAATTGATCCAATTAAAATATTCAATAATTATAAATTATTTTCTTCAATGGCAAATAGTGAGGAAAGCTATTTTACTCCATAACTAAACCAGCTGCGGGTTAAGTTACTTATTTTCAACATAGATTTGCTTTTTTTTGCACATGTGGGTTCCCTGGTCCAGCATTGCTGATCTGTGAACTTTGTTTAAATGTGGCCTGCATGATAAATTGTGGATGATATTTTCATTGCATGTACGTGGTGATTATGTTGTTTTAAAAAACCCTCTTAAAGCGACCATTATGTTTTAAAAGTTTTGCAACAACCATTTTCAAATGACCACAGGGCATGTTCATTTTTTTTTTTTCAATTTTATGGGACATGGTAAAAAAAAAAAACTATTTTTGTTGTTTTAAAAAACCCTTTTAAAGCGACCATTATTTTTTAAAAGTTTTGTAACAACCATTTTTAAATGACCACAGGGCATGTTCATTTTTTTTTTTTCAATTTTATGGGACATGGTAAAAAAAAAAAACTATCGGGAAGCTTGAAGTAAAGCTTTTATTCTTGAAGCCAACTTCGGCTAAGTTATTTTTAAATCTCTACTTTGGTTTTGTTATGTTTGTAGTGAAAGACTTACAGCTGAACTGTTAATTTTTTTGTTCTGTGTATGAAAAAAGACCTACCGCTGGTGTGAATTTTGTTCAGTTTTTAGAAAAAGACATAAATCTGAACTGTGATATTGTTAAGTTTCATATTTCGAGCTTTTCCATTGTCTTGTTCTTTCTGTTCCCTTCACACGTTAGTCTCCAATATGTCATCCTAAACTTAAAAAAAAAAAAAGAATTGTACAAACTATGAAGAGAAAAGCACTTATGTAATGACCCAAAGATTCCCCAGTATTCTCCAGGGTTGGTTCAAATTTGTCTGATCATGAGCAGGAGAAACTCAACCCTGATAATAATGCCATGCAATAGAATGTTATACAATAGGCTCATGCCTCATGGTCATATGGCTTAGAGCCAACTTGACATTATCATAGTGTAACAGTCAAGCATAGATTTATGACCTAAGTCATAGAAACTTAGTCATATGGATATTTGAACTTACTTTCTCAGCTTCATAGTATTATCAAGATTATGTCAATAAATGTGTCTAAAAAATTTATTTTGATCTTGAAGATTTGTCTCAAAATTGTAAACTTAATTTTAATGAGTTTGCAGCACTATGGGCAATAATGTTTTGTCATTAGCCACACATGTGGTCACGGCCGAATTTCATAAAATAACTCAAACATCTAATGTATAGACTCATCATTGGAGTGAATATCGTAGATTTTGTATATCCACTATTCAACATAAAAAAAAAATAAGGAGAAAAGATTTGTTTTTCTAATTGCCATTTAAGAAGACATTCTGGCTTCTTTCCTTTTTACTGATCGTTAAAACAGAAGGGTTTAAAACTGTTATCCAGCCCCTAGATTAATAAAGACTAAAGATTGTGTCAAAGAAAAAGTAGATAAAAAAAAAAAGGTGGTGCATTTAAAATATTCAGAATGGCCACAACTTTTTGTCTGATGGCCACCTGTTGGGTGGCACACTGCCAATCAAAGCTCAAATTATTTAAATGCACACAAAAATAATGTACCCGATGAATGATTGTATATAACCCAAGCTTGTGGTAACCCAGGTAACCCAATGATGTTTGAGAATATTCAAAGCTACAGCTGGACATTGGACACACCTGTTGTGGCCCAGTGTTGATACAAATAAAAACAAAAATCCAAGATTCAGTTTAAACCATCTAGACTTTCTTTTGGCTTTTGGTTAGAATTTTCTGACATCCTAAGGCGGTGTTGCTGATTAAAAAAAAACCTTTGTGATTAATCAAATGATTCGTTTGATTCAACCCTGTGTAGCACCTATCCTACTGACTACAACCCTGTCTAGCACCTATCAACTGTACTGACTACAACTCTGTCAATCACCTATTCATTTGATTCAACCGTGTGTAGCACCTATCCTACTAATTGCAAGCCTGTCTAGCACCTGTCAAATGTACTGACTACAACTCTGTCAATCACCTATTCATTTGATTCAACCGTGTGTAGCACCTATCAAATGTACTGACTACAACCCTGTCAATCACCTATTCATTTGATTCAACCCTGTGTAGCACCTATTCGTTTGATTCAACCCTGTGTAGCACCTATCCTACTGACTACAACCCTGTCTAGTAACTATCCTACTGACTACAAGCCTGTCTAACACCTATCCTACTGACTTCAACCCTGTCTAACACCTATCCTACTGATTGAAACTCATATGTCATCATTCTTTGTCACTTTGTGTGTACAAGTTTTCATATTGATCATATGGCTTCGTTATGATCCTGGGTACCACTGCTAAACCATAGTGTTGCGCACCGAGCTAAAGAAGTTAAACCCTATTGATATACCCCTGGCCTTATAAGTTAAAGCCTATTGATACACCCCTGACTATATAAGTTAAAGCCTATCAATAGATACCTGGCTATATAAGTTAAACCATAGTGTAACATCACTGGCTATATAAGTTAAACCATTGTGTAACACCCCTGGCTATATAAGTAAAACCATTGTTTAACATCACTGGCTATATAAGTTAAACCATAGTGTAACACCACTGGCTATACAAGTTAAACCATTGTGTAACACCCTTGACTATATAAGTTAAACCATAGTGTAACACCTCTGGCTATATAAGTTAAACCATATTTATACACCCTTAGCTATATAAGTTGAACTATAGTGTAACACCCCAGGCTATATAAGTTAAACCATAGTGTAACACCACTTGCTATATAAGTTAAACCATAGTGTAACACCACTGGCCATATAAGTTAAACCATATTGATACACCCTTGACTACATAAGTTAAACCATAGTGTAACACTCCTGGCTATATAAGTTCAAACTAATTTAGCTAAATCTGATTTTAAGGTTACCTTACATAACTAAGTTAACTCTCTTTTCATTTTCTATAATTCAGCTTCCAGGAAGTGTGCACAGTTCCTAGAAGGAAGAAAAACATTCAGTAATGACATCACCTACTCCATTTTCAGTAATGGGTCCAATCTAGAACACTAACAACATGTCTAAATATTTGAGAGCAAAGAAGGCATTTTTATAACTCATCACTGATTGGATGCAGTAAGCTTTATCAAGAAGTGATATCAAGGTAACCGCGACACTTCAGAAGTAATTTTTTTTCTTCAATTTGCTCAGTGCTTTTGGTTTCAGTCAAAGAAATGAGCTGATTATTAGACATCATGCAAATATACATAGTTTGACATATGACAATAATATCACTGTTGAGGCCATTCATAGTATCTTCTCTCAGGCTGTGTTCAAATTCTAAATTAAGAGTTTTAATTTGTGTCCTACTTTTGAAATGTGCTATGTTTTCCATGACCTACATGGCTGGAATGTGTTGAAATTTGGCATGAACGCAGCAGTTCATGGTATAATGACAGTGTTGTCCCAGTAAGTATAGCTTAAATGACATTACACATTGTCATAGCGTTCATATGCGTTCTTCAATTTTGTGAAATCCATTTTCAAAATGTAACTGTTGTTAAGTATATGAGGCACATGTTGGTAAGAATATCAGGTATGTGTTGGTAAGAATATGCATGTTATAAGAATATTATGTTTTATGTGTATACGAGAGCTGTGTTAATTTATGAGTTGAAACAACATGTTGAAATTCAATGCATTTAACAAAGTACAATTGCGTGGCTAAGTGCAAATGCATGGCTAAGAAAAATGTGTGGCTAAGTATGGATGAGTTGCCAAGTGTGGATGTGTTAAAATGAACTTTTTTGTAGTTGTTTTTTTTAAAGTTATTTTTTAAAAATATATTTTGAATCATTTAGATCAGTATTGTGCTATTTAATTTTATATCTAAAGTTTAAAAAAAAAAATTATAAATTTTTATCGTAAAGGCCAAGAAGTGATTTTTACTTTTATCTAATTTCACCATTCAAAACTGCTGGGTTTTCCTGGGTATCATGTTTTAGACTTTATTTTAACATTATGTTTTCTCTTGTTTTATGCTTTTATATCAATTCACAAATATACATCGTCAATGTATCTATACATGTGTATATATATATATATATATATATATATATATATATATATATATATATATATATATATATATATATATATATATATATATATATATATATATATATATATATATATATATATATATATTTATATATATTTTTTATTTTAACATTATTTTTTCTCTTTTTTTATGTTTTTATATCTATTCACATATATATATCGTATATGTATCTATATATGTGTATATATATATATATATATATATATATATATATATATATATATATATATAAACATATATGTCTTTTTATCTAAACATAAATTTAAATCCAGACCATACATCCATTAAGAATATTTGTCTATGTATCTATAGATGTAAAAAAATAAATAATTATCTATAAATTTATCTATAAAATTAGTGTCCCTTAGCCAGGCTGTCAGATGACGAGAGATCAAAACTCATCCAAAGTGCTTCGGCTTGAACAAATTTTATCCTGTTTTATCCCTCTGCAACTGACAAACATATCAAAGTGATATCCTATTTTTATAGCCATTTATTCCATAAGGGAAGTGAACATTTGGCCTTTTCATTTTTTTAATACATTGGTGGTGGAGGGGAGGGGGCGGCTTGGGCTGAGGGTAGGTATTATGATTGAAGTTCAGTCACTACTACGTATTTCAGACCAACTGCTATGTTGTTAGTGAAACCATGAGATATTGTTTACCTTTGATGGCCAGCTTTAAATTTTTTTATAGTGACAATGAACAGAGGCTTTTGTAATGATCCTATACTTTTTGTGAAATGGAAACATATCAGAAGTCCACCCTTCATCTAAATGCCCTTGTAATGATCTACAATTACACAATGGGGCAGCCTCATTAACTGAGATTTGTGACCCTGCTCCAAAACTAAAGCAGCAGATCCACCGGCCCATATATTCAAAAGTTACATAAGGAGAGCTATTCCTTTGAAAGTTAACGTAGCAGAGCCATCTGCCCTTTTATTAAGCAGCTACGTTAGAGGACACATTGACCCATATTTTTAAAAGTTACAGTTGTTGAGCAAATTGACACATATATTTTTGAGGCTGGTAAGTAGTGGGTCAAATAGAAAGTTTTTACCCAACAAATCCATAATTTAAGACCATTTAAAAAAAGATAAACAGATATATTTTGGTGGGTATTGTACTCCTACATCAAATAGTCAATGTTGACTATAAGGGGGAGAGGAGAGTTTTAAACTGCTTTATCAAATGTTACATTATTTTATTAACAAAAAGTGAGTCTTTTGCCTGATATTCAGAAATAACTTGTGTTATTATTATGTTACATTTCATTTGTCAGTCAAGTATGACGCAGGCTGCTGAGATAATTTGCTTTAAGATGTATTTACTTATTTATTTGTCCTCTGATATCACGGATCAGTCAGCTCTTCTAGAAAGATTGTTTCCCTCATGCAATCCATTTTTCCAAATGCATATTTTCTATGTGTTTGAGGATATTTTGTATCACATATGAAATCCATCTCCTACTCAATATTTTTCTTTAATTTTGTTTTATTTTGCCAAGTATATTTCAGTGTGGCTCTACAGCCATCAAAACCAGTGTGTTCATTTTTGCTGTCCCTGTCAATGATTGATCATATATCCCAAACATTTTCAACACTAATACAAATACTCAAAATTTTCTGCTTATTCTTTTAGGAATAGTTGCAGCTTGTGTGTGTTTTTTTTTTTAATGGTATTATTTGCAGCTTTTGAAAGAATGGAGAAACTTTTACTTTTTCTGCTTGTATGCTCCTTTAGCTGGTGGTGGGTTGGATGTTCACTTCCTAAGTGTTTTTTTTCCCAGCTCCTTACATACATGATTAGACACCTCCATATCATCATCAGTATTACACAGGATGTGTTGATTTCAATTCTAATGGATAGTTTTTTTTCTCTTGGCTCCAAATATGCCTAGCAGGTAACTGATGTTTTTTTTCTTGGCTCCAAATATGCCTAGCAGGTAACTGATGTTTTTTTTCTTGGCTCCAAATATGCCTAGCAGGTAACTGATGTTTTTTTTCTTGGCTCCAAATATGCCTAGCAGTTAACTGATGTTTTTTTTCTTGGCTCCAAATATGCCTAGCAGGTAACTGATGTTTTTTTTTCTTGGCTCCAAATATGCCTAGCAGGTAACTGATGTTTTTTTCATTTGTAAAAATTGTGCAAAATGTCTCTAGTGGCAATGTTTTTTTTAAAGCTTTGCATCTACTGTGTTGTGAATATTTTTCCAGATGGGATGATTTAATATTTCATTATTTTTGTCTCATGGACTGGGATTTAAATATATATTTTTCTTAAAGTTTTTTGTTTGGAAAACGTTTGGCCCGGAATGAATAAATCTGAAGAAAATAAGATTGTTTCAAGCTCAGTTCATGAAATTACGGCTGCAGTGCTTACCTACCAACAGAAATGTCCACTGTACAGTATGTCGTTAGAAACGGCAGGTATTTAACATTTTAGCACTGATGTTGGAAGGCAGGGGGGGGGGTCTCAAACACAACTCATGTTGGCCCTGCTTTAATTGAGAGATGGGTTTGAGGTATTCATCCACAACAGCCACCGAATCACTGTGTTGATGTTGTTGGGTGAAGGACTACATTTAAAAGAACTGAATGTTTTATTTTGTGATTGATATTCAGATTAAGGCTGAGGAGAGAGCGCATGCCTTCAAGTCACATGGCCTCATTCAGTATCGTAACTGTGGGCTGCTGTATCTGACAGAACAACAGGCTTTTTTGTTTTACTGAGCAGAGTGTTAAACACTTGTATTTGAAACCGTGAAATACTGTTGGTAAATTGTGATACATCCTGTTGATAATGAAAAGTTGATTTATTTATTTTCCCTCAAGAAATTAAAGATGATAGATACTAATCTTTTCTCTTGAAGGCTGCACTTTGATGTGTACAAAGTTATTAACTGAATGTTTGAAAGTACCGAAAGGGACATAACCTTGCTTAGTTCTGGGCATGAATTTAATTTTGTGTCTTCTTAAAAGTAAGTTGGGCAGTTGAATCAATGCAGTGCTGTGTATTATGGGAGGCAACCCCTCAGTAGTTTATATGGGAGGCAACTCCTTGATGTGGATTAACACGGTTCTATTTCATCCTGTCTTTATTTCTAAGTCTAGATTTGTATGGTAGGAAATAACAAGCTTAGAGAATTTGTTGACTAACTATATGAGGATGTTTTATATGTTCAAGACAGAACAGTTTTTAAATGTGTTGTAGGAAACAACAAGCATAGAGAGTTGTTTCTAACTGTATGAGAATGTTCCAGCTAAATTCTGCAGAAAAAATCTAAAATGCTTTTAAAGCAAATAAAAACAATTTGTCGATTTTGTATACTGAATAAATGTTGAGCAGCCCTTACTATTTGATTAGTATTTCTTCTGACCCTCATCAGTTTAGGAGTGCTAAGTGGAAAACGTATCCTAACCCACCTCTATTAAATCACTAATCCAGTTATAATATAAAGATAAAGGCGCATGGCGGCTGTGCTTGAAAGCAGGGTCCCTCTGCCTTCATGAACATATTTTAAAAACTAGATTGTGCTCATCTGTCCCCTGGAGCGAGCTGCAAATTAGTTTGGATTGTTCGATGGCTTTGAAGAACATAGTTCTTGAATTTTTCTATTTCTGTTGAAATCCTGTCACTTGATTATTTTCTTAAATGTTTATTGTTTTTAATGATGTATAAAATAAATTAGCCGGCCCCTGTTCCTGATGAAGTATCATTATGCTCCCTCCCTTTTCCTTGCCATTGTTTCCAGGTATGGAAGCTCAGGTGTTTCTATGAATTTGATTACATCATATGAATGCATCATCTATAACTCATAGTATCATCAGTTTGAATCAGTTTGTACATCTACATTGCTGAGTCATTGGTGGTCCTTGAATGGGGGGACAGCAAGATCCATTTAGTGCAGGCCTGCACAACATGCAGCCCACGGGCCACATGCGGTCCGCCAGCACCCACTGTGCGGCCTGCGAGGTCACAAAATATTCTTTATTCTTATTATTTTCTTAAGTGCTTTCCCCCTGTCCTATTTTCTTTTGGCCCGCACAAGTCCTGTCCTATTTTCTTTTGGCCCGCACAAGTCCTGTCCTATTTTCTTTTGGCCCGCACAAGTCCTGTCCTATTTTCTTTTGGCCCGCACAAGTCCTGTCCTATTTTCTTTTGGCCCGCACAAGTTTTTTTATTAAGTATTATGCCCGCCT